AGGGTAAGTCTAGCCCCTTATAAACCTAGTAATAAGAGTGCCCTAAAGGTCCCTTATTAGCCTTATTTTATTTCTCTTATACGTAAGGGGGATACTAGTAGCTAAGGGATACTAGCTATCTTATATAGATAACTTTAGTATCTCTATAACGTTAACCTTAGCTAAGAAGAACGTTTAATAGCTAGAAGTAATAGCTACTAGCCTATTTAAATAAGCTAAAGACTAAGGGGTTTACTTTAACCCCTTAAAGATAGAACTTATTTACTTTAGTAAGTAACGGTAGATATTTTAAAGGGTATAATAGTAAGATACTTATTTTTTAAGGTAAATCCCTTAGTATAGTAGCTAAGGGTCTTCTTTAATTTTAAGCTCTTATTTAAATAATATATTAAGAAGAAGGTAGCCTTTATATAAGCTGCTTTTAAAGGACTATCCCGCTTAACCTCTATATAAAAAAGCCTATTATTTAAAGCCTTTAAATAGCTCTACTAGGCTTATATAACCTCTATAATAGACTATAGGGCCTAATATTAGTATAGGGGGCCTAAGACCTTTAAGAGCTTTATAAAGCCTTTTTAAAGGCTATAAAACTAGGCTCTTTTAAAGGTCTTAAGGGCCTTTAAAGGATCCTTAATTAAGGGTCTAGAAGCTAAAGTAGCCCTACTACTACTAAAGGTATAATTTAAAAGTATATACTTCTCTTATACCCTTTAGACCCTATACTTTTTACTTAGTTACCTTATAAGGTAAGCTTATAACCTAGCTATATAAGATAACCTCGCTAACTTAAGCTTTAACTAAGAGGCTATAAGCTATATTAGGCTATATATATAGCTCTTTTACCTCCTTAAAGGCCTAGTAGCCCTTATAAGACCTAATTATAACTTAGAAAGAAGGAAAGCTAGCTAAAAGCCCTTATAGGCCCTAAAGCCTAAGGCCTTTATTATAGTAATAAAAACCCTTAAGCCCTTAGCTATAAAGTAATACTAATACCTCTTAGCTAGCTTAGCTAGCTTAGAAGACCTTAGGTTATAGCCCTTAGCCTTCTATACTAATAGCTTTAAGGGGGGCCCTAAAGGGTCCCTTATAAAGACTAATACTTACTCCTTTAATAAAATAGGCCTAGAAAATAAGATTATTAAAGCGTACTATAAGAACCTAGGGCCCTTAATTAAAGTAGCTAATATAGAGCTATTCGCGATACTAAGGGTCTTAAAGGACCTAGCTAAGAAGCCTTAGCCCTTAAAGCTTAGCCCTCTTAACCCCCTTATAAATACCTATATCTTTATAAATAGCTAAGCCGCTATAAAAAAGGTTATAGGTTTCTTAGACCTAGCTATATATATTAAAAGGCTCTTATTTAGCTTAGAAGCCTTTTATAACGTATAGCTATACTAGTGCCCTAGCTACCTAAGGATCCTTAGTAACGAGCTAGCTAACTAGCTAGCTAAAAGAGGCTTAGGGGCCCTTACCTAAGGGACCCCCTTAGTCTCTATTAGCTACTTATAAAGAAAGGTCTAGTAAGCTACTAAGGACTATTAAAAAGGACTCTAGGATATTACATGGCAAAGGCCTTGTGCTAGGGCCCAGGTAAGTATAATATATCTATTTAAAAGACCCCGCCTAGCCCTTAGCTTAGAAAAGGACCTTATAGGGAGGCCTAAGCTAACCTTCTTAGCCTTTTACTAGCTCTTCTTTAAGGCCGGCTTCTTATTTTCCTTCTTAAAAAGGACTAATAAGGTAGACCGAGACGACTACTACTATAGCTAAGGAAGGTATATAGCTAGGTACCTTATTTTAAGGTGCCCGAACTATAAGAGGGAAAGAGAGGTCCTTAACTAAACCTTTAAGAGATAAAAAGGGGCCCTTAGCTTACTTATTCTCTATAGCTCTAAGGAAGGAAGGGAAGCCCTTTTAACCTTCTTAGCTAAAATAGAGATAAGGATAGCTAAGTAGCCTAAAAAGGAGTAACCTAGGGGCCCTAGGGCCCTTAGGTAGGAAAATTACTATATAAAAGGAACTAAACTAACCTTTCCTTTATTATTTACCTTTATAGCTACCCTTTCCTTAATTAGTTATAAGCCCCTAAGCTCTATAGCTAGCTAGAACTACTAATAAGGGCCTAGGCCCTTACTAGCCTTACTATAGCCCTAAAGGCTATATATAAGTAATAATATAAAAAAAAGGAATAAGGGCTTAAAGAGGGGAAAGTCTTATAAGAAAGGGGGCCTTCTTAAAAGGGAGTACCTTAATTAAAATAAAGGGCCCTTTAAAGGGAAAAACCTCTTCCTTTTCTTTAGCTATAAATATTACCTTCTTATATATACTATTAGCTCTTCTTATAGACTCTTAAGGCGGGCCTCTAAGGATAGCTTTTCTTAAACGTCTTCTAGCTTAATTTACTATAAAAAGATAGGTAGCTTATACTTTAGTAAGGGCTTTATAAGACCGTTAGCTTATATTAAAACTATTAGAACTTAACGGATAGAAATAAGTCCCTTTTAGACCCCTTAGTATAACTAATACTAGTAGATATTAATATACTATAGCTAGGTCGATAGCTTACTATTTTCCTTTATAAGAATTCGTATAGTCTATATATTATTATATTTTATAGCTAATAGGGACGGAATTTATAGTAATAGCGATATTAGTAGCCGGCTAAGGAAAATCGCTTCTTTTAACGATTTTAAAAAATCTAGTAGCTCTGCTTTTATACTAAAAGTCGTAATAGTAGCTTACTTCGAAGCTCTCTAAGTAATAGTTCCTTTAAAAAGGGATATAATATACCCTTATAAGCTCTTTCTATCTAAGGAATTATCTATAAAGAACGAATCGCTTAAATAAAGAAAGATTTTAGTAGCTAATTTCTTCCTTTCTTACCCTCTTAAGTATAGACTATATAATCTTATTAAATAGAGATAAAGGATAGCTTTATTTATTACTTCTTAATACTTAGGGCTAGGATTCTAGTTATACTTAGCTAGCTAAGAGACTATAAAAGAGATATCCGGTCTAATAAAAATAGCTAAAAAAGTAAGGAGCTTACCTTCTATTAATATTAGTATTTCTCTTACTCCCTAGCTTAAAAGGATAGATTAAGTAAAAGCTCTTCGTTTAATATAAGCGTAGAGGGTAGCTTTTATTAAGGGAATTAAGGAGGAATTTATAAGCGACCTTATCGATATAAGCGTCTTAGGTAAGCTAGATAGTTTATTAGGACCTATTTTAAAGGATTTATATCCTTAGGAACTACTTTAGCTTCCTTAGCTTAATTATCTTATACTTTTATTATAGGCCTTATATAGCCTCCTTAGCTATAGCCTTTTCCTCTTTTAGGTAGGCCTAGATAATATTATCGATATAAAAGAAAACTATAATTTTACCCTTTTATATTATATACGGTTCTTAAGGGACTTTCTTAAAGCCTAGGGCTTTAAGGGAACCTATTAAATACTATTGCTAAAGAAGAGGTAATCTTTATAGTTTATATAAAGCTTTCCTAAGCTATAGAACCTTTCCTAGTTATTAGAAACTAAGAGGAAGCTTTATATAAATAACTTCTTCTTCCTTAAGTAGGTAGTTAATAAAGGCGTTAACTATATCTATCTAATTAAGTTTAAGGTTAAATTCTAACTATAGCTATAAAGGTTTAAAAAGATATCCTTACTAAGGTAGTTACCTTAGTAAGTAGATCCCCCTTTTCCTATTAATTCTTATAGATAACTAACTAAGCTTTATACTTTTAAAAGAAGCTATATTTATTAGTCTTATAAATAAAGACCTACTTATAGCTAAGGACCTATTTTCCTCTTACCTTTTCCTTAAGGACCTCTTTAAAAGACCCTATCTCTTTATATAAGGCTAGGTAGTCTTTCTAGGCCTAGAAAAACTAGTCTTTAAAGGGGTGTCTTTCTAGCTACTTTTAGTTTACTAGTAGGTCCGGGAGGTCTCTTTTATATACCTTCCTTACTAATAGTAGCTTAAAAAGCTAGCTTACTATAAACGCTTTATAAGAACTATCTTTTATTAGCGTTAGATAGAAGTCGGAAAAATAATTAAAATAAAGGAGATATTAGTCTTCTTTTATATCGGGCCCTATACCTTCCTTTACTTCTTAAAGTAGGGATAAAAAGGCAGCTAAGTAATCCTTTAAAAGAGGTGCCTTTCCTACCCTTTTAAGGGTCGAGATAGGAAGACTAACTAAAAAAACTACTTTTAGATCTTCTTCTTATATAGGAGGAGGCATAGGTAGGTAAGCGTATTTTAGCTCTACCGCTTTCCTATAGTCTCTTTCTTTATCTAGATTATCTAATTTAGTAGCTTCCTCTTCTTTAAAGTTGTCACGACCCTGGGCGCCAGCGTAGAGCCGCCAGCGCAGAACCTCACCAGTGTCACGTGCCCAAGCAGCATCACGTGCCCACGCGCGACCTCGTGTCTATATAAGGGCCCGCTCGGTCGTGTAGTCTAGTCTTCCTTTCTTGCTCCTTAGCTTTGAGTCTTTGTTCATAGTGCCAATACATCTTTATAGCCGTCAAGGCTCGTATGTGCCTGGCCGTAACACTACTCAAAGCTCAATAAGATCGCTTGCCAGCGATTAAGCAAATAGGCACCGAGCTTTCACGTCACACGCGCCTGACGTAAATCCAGCGCATCCGTTCTGACCGTTCCGACCAAGACCTGACCACCGACCAAGTGATCCTCAAGGCTGAGATCACGTCCGTTCCGACCAAGACTACGCGTGTGTAGTCGTCCGACCAACCGTTCCGACCAAGGGATTCGTCCCGTCTGACCTCCGACCGTCCCTGCTCGTGCAGGCATCTGACCGTGATTCCGCGTGGTATCATTTCCGACCCCAGACTCTGACCTCGAGACTATGATATCTGAGGAAGCCCTGCCATCGGATCAGCCTCGCCGTTCCACCCGGCTTGCTGGCCAAGCCACTGAATCCGAAATAGTAGCCATGGCTGCCCTGAGCCCCAAGACGCCTCATCCGCGAGATGAGAGAACAGATTGCGGCCTTAACGGCCCGTCTAAATGAACGCTCTCCGTCTGTTGAATCAAATCGACAGCACCGGGAGCCCTCGACTGCTTTTTGCCGGCCCAAATGGCCCGGCCTTCCGACCAACAGGCAAAGCTGCCTGGCCTATTTTTGCCCCTTCCCAGAGGGCAAGAACCCCGAGTACAGCGACGCCGCCAAATCGCGCATCAAGGTCTCCGACGTTCTCAGGAAGAAGGACGAGTTCCATTCCTTCATCCTGAGCATAAAGAACAAATTTGACGAAGACGTGCGAACCTTCCGGACTGAGAACAGCCGGATGGTCTGTCTGTATAACCTGCTCGAGGGAAAAGCCCGCCGAGCACTTGAAACCCGCTTCTCCTCTGACACTCGACCCTTCTCTGGAGTGGCAGAGATGATCCAAGCCCTTGAGTCCGCCTATGGCAATCCGAATGAGCTTTCCGAGGCTCTTGACCGCCTGCAACGCCTCCAGTTTACCGTGAATGGGAAGACCGACATTGTGGACTTTCTTGCGGAATTTGACTACTTAACTGCGACCGGTCGTGTGCCTGAGGACCAGATGAAGCATACCCTGTGGCAGCACATCCCGGCCAACCTAGATAACAGCCTCTTGACCAAGACCCGCGACGAGTCCGTGACCTACGAGGTTTTCGGGTTCATTAAAGACGCTGTCCACTGCCAGAAGAGGAGTATGAGGCAGACACAGGACTCCCGCTCTTCCGACCGATCTCGCCGCGCGCCGACTAAGACTGCTCCGACTACCGCCAAGACTCCGAACAAGACCGGCTCGACCCCTATCACCTCGCGTGATGCTGGCAGAGCCTTGACCGACGATGAGAAAAGGGTCCATTGGGATAATGGCACCTGCTTTATTTGTGGAAAACAGGGCACCTCTCTCGCGAGTGTCCCGACTGCACCCATGCTGTCTCCCGTGTCGCCTCCGTCCCTGTCCCTGCCAACGACTCTGATCAAGATTCGGGAAACGAATAGGACCATCACAAGACTCCTTGATGGTCCCTAAGGTGTCACAGACAGCGAGTAGGTCTAGCAAGTCATTCACTCTGCCAAGTCAAGTCCAAGTGGATGGTGAGCCTACCTGCCCGCTCCTCTGTGATACCGGAGCCGAAACCCGTTTGCTGGTTAGCCCAACCTTCGCCCAGTCCGCCGCCCAAAGACTCGGAGCCCAGATTAAGGAGCTCCCGAGTCGGATTCTCCAAGACTTCCGTGGAAAGCCAGCCGGCTATATCCAGAAACAGCTGGTCGCCACTTTCGTCATCGATGGCCGTTCGTTCGCAAACGAGACATTTGATATAGCTGAGTGTGGCCATGATATCTTTATCGGTCTTTTCTGGATGCGGGAGAAGCGCCTCCTGCTTGACTGCGCCGCCCGACAGATCATCTGGCCAGATGATCTTCCTGCCCTCGCCAAGTTCTCCCCGACGATCCAGCTCTCGTCAAGCCCCGCTCTCGGGTCGGATCGACCCTAAGATCCAGGCCGACGCTGAGAGGCGGAACCGCCTGCTCGAGAAAGAGGAGAAACGCTACCGGATCCTCCACAAGAACTGGGGCCGCTCTGATCAAACCTCCGGCCTCTGTCCCGACCTCGTTACCGACTCCGTCTCCGTCGTTTCAGTCCAAGTCTCCGTCTGCCAAGAAGTCTGTCCGTTTTCAGCTCACGACCGCCCCTGCTACCGACTTCTGTCTCCGTCGCCTCGATCCAAGCCTCCGAAGATCAAGCCCTGATTAACGCCCTGGTCTGCCAAGTAGAGTCTCACGAGAGATTCGAACAGTGGAACGAACTCGAACCGTTGATGCCCTGGGATCCAGTCCAGCTCGAGCCAAGCTCCGGCCTTGACCAGACCGTCCCTAGTGCTCGAACCGTTGCTAAAGTCTCCCGGATCAAAAGACCTACCAGGGACAAAGCATTCCGTTCCTCAGGAGAAGACCCTGAGCATGTTGCTTGTGTCCGTAGTCGTCTACCGCCCCAGCTCACCCATCTAGAGGGATTCTTCTCGAAGAAAGAGGCCCACACCCTACCTTCGAGCCGACCCGGTCACGATGTAGTCCTAGAGCTTGAGAAGCCTCTTTCGCCGACAGGACCCCATCGTACCGCACGCCCGTTAAGTATCTGCCTCTAGAGAAAGAGACTGTCGATCACCTCCGGAGATAGACTTCATCGAGCCCGATCCGAGTCCGCACGCCGCTTCTGTCCTCTTCGCCCGAAACCGAACACGACCGCCCGCCGCTTCTGCATCGACTACCGTTGATGAACGATCATCTTAAAAGTCGCATCACGCCCGCTCCGTCCCTCGAAGGTACTGCTTGGTTGCCGTGAAGCTCAACGCTTCACTAAGATCGATGTGATCCAGGCCTTCCACCGTCTCCGCATGGACCCTGACTCCGAGTATTTGACCGCCTTCGCACCTGTTTCGGAACTTTCCGCTGGAAAGTCCTCCCGTTCGGTCTGAAGGTAGGTCCCGCCTGGTTCCAGCAGTTTATCAACGCGCAGCTTCACGATCTCCTCGACCGGTGCGCCAGCGCCTACGCAGATGACGTCCTGATCTACTCGGATAAAGAAGAGACCACTGAAAGACTGTCAAGAAGTGATCTGGCGACTCCATCAGGCAAACTCCAGGGAGACATCAAGAAGTCTAGATTTAACGTGACCAAGGTTGACTACCTCGGCGTTCTGCTTGAAGCCGGTGTGGGCCTTAGTGTCGACCCTCGGAAAGTTCGATCGATACAAGACTGGAAGTTTGAGGACCTCCGAGACCGCACCGCGATCCGATCATTCGTTGGCCTATGCAACTTCATCCGTGTTTTCTGCTACCACGCCTCTGGAGTGGCAGAACCCTGAACCGGTTGCTTAAGAAGGATGTTGCCTTTGTGATGGGCCCGGAGCAACGCGAAGCATTTGATCAACTCAAGCGCCTGGCTATCGAGCCCCGGTCCTCGCCTTCTTTAGACCAGAACTGCCGACCCGACTGGAGACCGATGCCTCCCGGAATGCCACAGCTGGTGTTCTATGGCAGGAACAGCCTGATCAGACCTGGAAGCCCGTTGGATTCTTCTCTAAGACCATGACCCCGGCCGAGCGAGCCTACCCAATCCAAGATCGAGAGCTCGCCGTCGTACAGAGTCTAGAGCACTTCTACCCAGAGCTCTTAGGCCAGAAGTTCGATGTGATCACCGATCACGAAGCCTTAGTCCATTTCTCTACGAAGCGCCTGCTCGGTACGACAGATCAGATGGTCCGACTTTCTCGCCCAGTTCGACATCCGTTTCTCTACCGCCCCGGTCGACTGAACGTAGTCGCCGATGCCCTCTCCAGGAAGACAGCGGAGCCCCACCGTAAAGGCCCGGGCCGAGGAACGCACGGTGACCCTGATCCTCCGGAAAGGCTAGGCTTCGCGACCGACTCTCTAGACCCTACGGCCGCCGGCAACCTGCCCTCGAACTTTAGTCCCGAACCTAAGCCTACTAGACCATTAGTCTGAGGGCCACGAGTGCCCTACAGACCCCAGAAGACCGAGGATACAGCAGACGCCCGATCAAGACCGCCCAGAACTAGACTCCTAACTCGGTCCCGAAGGGAGCCGAACTCGTTTCGTTGATCCGCCAAGAGAACCTCCTCCAAGACCTCGGTACCCATGGAACACACCTGGTCGTACCAGCCCAGACCTCAGACAAGCAGACGTTTCTTCAGACCGCGCTCATTCGCGAAGCCCACGAACCCCAGATCTTCGCTCACGCCGGACAGAACAAGGTGATCAAGCTGCTCCAACGAGACTTCTACTGGCCAAGGATGAAGGAGGATATCCGTCGTTATATTCGAACTGCCACGACTGCCGCCGCAACAAAACCCTCGAGACAAGACCCTGGACTGCTCCATCCACTGCCCGTACCGACCTCTGTTTGGGAGCACGTCGAATGTGACGGAAGGATATGCCGAAAGACCGTTACGGATATGACTATGTTTGGACCTTCGTCTGCAAGCTGCCGGATTATCGCCACGCTCCCAGGAAAGAAAACGATACGGCAGAAGTCTTAGCTAGCCGCTACTTCCGCTACCTCTATCGTTTCTTCGGTATGCCCTCGTATGGATTTCTGACAACGCTGGACAGTTTATTTCGCCTTCCTCGCAGAGATTAACCGGCTCACGGGAACGAAGCATCGTCATGGAAGCCCCTACACCTCAGACCCAAGGGGTAGAAGTCACAAATCAATACCTAGATCAAAAGCTACGATTCTACGTGACGAAGCATCAAGATAACTGGAGTTCTGCTGCCCGCCCTCGACTTCGCCCATAACTCGTCTTGGCACTCTTCCATCGACATGGCACCGTTAAAAGTAGCCCTAGGCCGAGATATCCGGAACCCCTGTCACTGCCCCCGACTGAAAAGCCCGCTGCCACCGGCCCCGCCGCCAGAGCTAGGAAACTTGTGCAGACCGCCCAGGAAACCCAGGAAGACGCCAGGAATGCTGCCACCGCCGCTCAAGAACGTCAGAAGGAACAGGCTAATAGGAAACGACGACCAACCGACTTTGCCATCGGTGACCGAGTTTTTCTCAGCAGGAAAGGCTTCGCCACGAACGCTCCGACTACTCGGCTAGATAACCAATGGTCAGGTCCGTTCGTAATCCTGGAAGAACGCGGTCATAGCTACGCTGCCCGAGTCGTACAAAATGAAGAACCTATTCCACGCCGACCGTCTTCGAAAAGCAGCCGATAACCCCTTGCCCCAGCAGATCCAGTCACCTCCGCCACCCGAGGAGATCAACGGAGAACCCGAGTGGAGGTTGATCAAGTCCAGCAGTCTCGAGTAACCGGTAGGAGTCGACGACTGGAATACCAGGTCTTATGGAAGGGATGTGACCCTGATGAGACCTGGTACCCGGCTAGGAATTTCCGTAACGCACCAATGGCATTGAAGATTTTCCACGATGAACATCGGACGCAGCAGGCCCACCCGTCAACCTGCAATACTGGATCGAATGTGCTGCAGCGGAGGAGGGCTGCGAGGAACGAGACGATGACGACACAGCAGAAAGCCGTGAAACCAAGAACCCGCCGCCACGACTGACTACCTTGATACGCATATCAAGGCCTTAGACGGGGGCAGTGTCACGACCCTGGGCGCCAGCGTAGAGCCGCCAGCGCAGAACCTCACCAGTGTCACGTGCCCAAGCAGCATCACGTGCCCACGCGCGACCTCGTGTCTATATAAGGGCCCGCTCGGTCGTGTAGTCTAGTCTTCCTTTCTTGCTCCTTAGCTTTGAGTCTTTGTTCATAGTGCCAATACATCTTTATAGCCGTCAAGGCTCGTATGTGCCTGGCCGTAACAAAAGTTAGCGTTATCCTTAACTACTTTAACGTCGGTTTCTTCTTTTATTTCCTTATCTAAGACCTCTTCTTAAGACTATTAAGAAGGGGGGATTTAAATCTTCTAAATTAGCTAAGGTTATAAGAGTAAGAAGGGCTATTAATCCCTCTTTCTATTAAAGAAGCTATATTTATTAAAAGTTATATCCTTAGTTAAAATAACCTTTTATAAAAGAGGAATCTAGATTTAAAAGATATTTATAGAATTATAACTAACGAGGTAACTAATAAAGGCTCTAGGATTAAGCTTTTTTTTCTTCTTCCTTTTTAGCTATATATTAGTAGTTATTACGTATACTTTATAGCTATAGGTATAAAGGTAAGCTAGTAAGGCCCTCCTTTTTATAAAGAGCTTAAGGGGAGATTTCTAGTCTATTCCTTAAGTCTTAAAAAGGGTCTCTAGGTCCCTATAGTCCCTTAGTCCCCTAGGGTCCCTTAGGGTCCGGTTCTAAAGGTAATAGGCGGTCTTAACGACTTCCCTTTAAAGGACGTATAAAAGCCTTATAGTAAGTCTTATTATATAGGCTATTTCTATTATAGTACCCCTTAATCTTTCTACCCCTTTATTCTAGGCCTAGGTATTCGGTATTAATAGGAGGGGTAAAATACACTGTTTTTAAAGCTAATTTAAGATATCT